CTGACACACTATGAAATCTAGAAATCAGGATCTCTAGGGGGAAAAAATCAGGATCTGGTGAAAAGAATCAGGATCAACAACAAACCACCAGGGTGACTGCCAAGCTGACTAAAAAATTTTCCATGGATGAACATAAAATATATATATGAATGTATAACATATAATTACAGGCTTGCGTTCTGTGTGTGTTTGTGTGTGTGTGTATGTCTTTTATCATTATAAATGTTTTTAATCCTGAAGTATCACGTCAAGCACTTCTAGTCTTAATGTCTAACATCACCACCCAACACGCCCCAAAGGACACTTCAACCAGTGTCCGTAAAGTTAAGTTGACCCCGACAACGGACGGTCCCCAACACATGTGAAACACACGCCAAAGTCAAGTCACGTGATGCGAATGTGTGATTGCAAAAGTTTTACAGGCAGGACTTTATGAAGGGCCCAACTAACTAGACCTCGGACGAAGCTTGTTTTAAAAGTAACAGCAGAACTAAGAATAACATTGATTATTTGTATTCGCAATTGTAACAGTTATCCGGCCATCATCGGTGAATTCTGAGAGGTAACAAAAGCAAATGTAGATCTTGAGAATGTCCCAAGTCAGAATGCCAAATCGATAGTTGAAATTATAACACTTGCGAGCAAAGATCCAACATAATCTGGGGCGAGTCAACTACTAAATGCGGCATCGAAATTTCTTAAAATAATGCTCTCAGTTCCTACTGACAAAAAGAGGTGCTCCCCACGACACAATAATTTTTTTTTTAAATCTGATGCAACAGACATAAAAAAAAAATCTGGATGATCGCAATCAGGGTGCTCAAGATTTGAGGCATAAAAAAATCAGGATATCCCGGTTAAATCAGGAAGAGTTGCAGGTCTGTGTAGGTCACAGATCGAGGTTTACGCGTTAATATTCCATTCGAAAAATGAGTTTTTTAGTCGGGCCCAGGTATACAGGCCTGACAATAGAGATATCATCACCGTCATTCATCATTGTCGTAAGTCAAAATTCGATGTTTTCAGGAAAAGCAAACATCCATTATTTCAGGAAGGACATTGGTAGTAGCAGTTTGGTAAAAGTTTTACTGCACTTGCAAGTGCAGGACATTATCTTGATAAAAAGAAAAGAAATTTGAACAAATCAAAATCCAAAGTTAGAGATTTTGTGAAAACTGTTAGTGTAGTGTTTAAATAATACAACCTAACACAACTATTATTCACCCACCATTCCATCCCCCCAAACCACTGGCCGTACTATTATTCACCCACCATTCCATCCCCCCAAACCACTGGCTGTACATAACATCACACATCTGTCTCTGATACAGGGAGAGTATTGCACTTCCAGGCTGCCATATATTTACCCCCTACTCCCTCCCCCCCCCCTCCCCTTATCAAACCTAGGTCACTCAGCGCAATGGTTGAGAATTCCCGCAAAACAGGACCCCAGGCACTGTGATTGACAAGTGTGTATACAGTCAAACCTGTCTTAGGCAGGACTGATCAAGATGAAGAAAACAAACCATTCCCATCTGAGGTCCCAATCGAAAGTAGCCGCATTGTTGTTGTTTTTGGTTTGTAAGTATTTTGTTTGTAAATTGTATTTTGTTGCTGATTTTGCACAAGGGTGACAATAAAACGAAATGTATCAGACGAGGAAGACTGAGTGTCATGTTAAAACAAACACATGGGTCGCCACCACCCGGAGAACGAGCGACGCTTCTGTCACAAGTCCATGTTGACGTCCTTTGTTACTTTATTACAGACTGGGTAAACAATGACCACTCATCTCACTTACAATTTGTTTATGAGTTCTGGGCGGGGCTTAGGGGTTATGAGGGATCACACGCTTACACCTCACCAGCAGCTGAAAATTGGTGGTCAACAGTGGGAGGGGCCTACGCAACATGATTGGTTGGAGGGACTACCTAACAACAACGACAGGTGATTGAATTATGACGGCTTGCCCACAACGCCAGGGGTCAATGCACAATTTATGACAAAACGTAATGGAGTCACTAAGGTGGCCGTCTAAGACAGGTGTTATATTATTGCTTAGTGTGATAGGGGTTGTGTGTTAAAATATGGTGGCCGTGGCCGCGTTGGACAGGTGCCCGTTTTACACAGTTAAATTATATATATAGAAAAAACGCAAGGGGGGGAAATGGAAAGTGGCCGTTTGTACAGGTGGCCGTCTTATAGAGGTGGCCGTCAGGGCAAGTTTGACTGTATTCTGCCCGAAAAATAGCTCTATTTTAGCCCAAAGCAAAAGTAATTTGATTTAAATGCTGGTATGGGAAAGATCCAAGGAGAAATTATTCTTTTTGGTCCACCATATATATCAATAAAACATGCACATCTCAATCTGGAAGACTGTCAAAATTTGTCATGATAGAAGACAAAGACTAAAGAACAGAGTTTCTGAAGAATAGTTGTGTTGTTCCGACTTTAGTATCAGCAAAAACTTGTAAAGTTGTTCCCTCATCCGATCCAGATATTGGAGATTGCCTTGTTAGCGAGACAACTTCAGGTCCTGGGCCTTTGGCATGTGGTAGGGTCAGTAGCTAGATCAGATCTCGTAGGCTACAAAAATATTACCAATCAAGGTGTAGAGGAAAGTCGGCAGTTAACACAAAGTATTCGAAGTCAGGTGAATAAAAGTAAAAGAAGGAATGAAGGAAAAGGTAAAGAAAAGCGTTCTAGTGGAGAGAGTAGAAGTTAAATAATTTATTATAATATAATTATGCTCGGCAATGATTTATGATGGCATGGTGACCTGGCATGGACCAGAATATTCTTCTAGGGAGGAATTCCCTAACGAGAGACCACTATGAAACAAAGTAGAATAGAGGGTTAGTGGTAGGGGTAGGGGTAAGTTAAGGGTAGGGGCTAGGGCTGCTAGAGGTTGAGCAAGAGTTAGGGTAAGGTCTCTTCTATATCCTATATATTTAATTGAGTTTGTATTTGTTGGGGTGGCCGCTCGTTACAAGTACGGGAAGTCCTCCTGATTCTTCTTGTAAAAACTCACCCTGTCTTGTTGATAGTGTTGTCAAATGAAGCTACTGCAACAAAATCTGCTGGCTTCACAGACGCTATACTAAATGTAGAATTATCTGCGTTGTAGACAACCCATAACGTTGTTGGCTTCGCAAGACAAAAACCATGAAGCAAAACGATAGCAACTGCAAACCTCAACGCTAAATCCCCCGCCATTTTGTAACCAAGAGTCATGTGATCGGTGGAGTCTTCACTTCGAGTCATATGACCAAGCTTTGCTATCACATGACGAGGCCTGGCGATGAAATTGCTATGATGACAGGTGCATTTATTTTATGTAAATTGTAAATGTCACTTGTCCTTGTAATTTTATAATCTGCGACGATCTACATTGGAAATCGTCCAGTTTTAGTTGGGTCCTGTTTTTGTTTTGTTTTTGGGTTTGATTGTTTTGTTTTGTTTTTGTTCATTTAATTTTTTATTTGGTTCTTTCTCGACAACGATCCAAGGCCCAAGGCATGATTGGTTGTTGGCTTGGTTGCTGGAGATGAGTCGGGTCCACTGGCCTGGTCAGTCACTCACTGTGGTCGGGTCGGGGCAAGGGCAAGGAGAATAGCCTAAAAGTATTCTTAGCTCCTTGGGTCGGGGGCATAGTTGTACACTATAATATTATTATTAGGAGGAGATTACTCTGTGGCCTGTGGTCGGGGGTCGGAATATCATCATCGCTAGCACCTCGTCCTTTCGGTCACGCTCAGGGGCACATGACAAAACACTTTCAATTTTGTTTTGTTTTGGGTTTGTTTTTTGGGGTTTTTTTAAGGGGGGGGGGGCGCACGGTTCCAAGATATTTGTGTTTTGTCATGTTTCCCTCTATGACCAGACGCAGCTTCGTTGTATATAGCGACAAACAAACAAATAAAGAAGAAAAATGTGTACTGTCGGAGCATCCGTTGAGAAATGTACATATTCTTCTTGAAACACATTCTTCAGTACATGTAGCAGGCTACATTCGAATTTTTATTTCTGGATAATATATTAGATCTACATGCACTAACAACCGTCTGTTTATTTGGAATCTGAAAAACAAAACAAAAGAACAATAACGACTATAACAAACTTAACAAAGCACAGTATTTTTTGTACTTACAGGGCTTATAAACTCATATTATGCGTGCGTGAGTGTGTGTGTGCGCAGAGAGAGAGAGAGAGAGAGAGAGAGAGAGAGAGAGAGAGAGAGTGAGAAAAGAGAGAGAGAGAAACCGGGAGAGAGAGAGTGTGTGTGTCTGTGTGTTTGTGCCTATGCGTGTGTGTGTATGTACGACGTGCGTGTGTGTATGTACGTGCGTGTGTGTTTGGGTG